TTGACATACAAAATGGAAACTTGACATTACTTTGGTTCACTTACAAACACAGCCCTAAACCGTACAATATCCATATGAAACAATACAAATCAATACAAAAATGATAATAATACAATATACAACAGTAAGAATCAATACAAACCTAATAATAACACAATATTAAACAGTGGATATCCAGAACCAAAAACTTGCTACCAAAATAAAAAAATTTTAAAGCTTATCCTAAGTCTGAGCTCGCTTATGCTTGTCTATAGGGAATAGAGAGGGAGAGAAAGAAAAGCCAGAAATAATTGGGGAAGGGAAGGGAATGCATATCTATCATATATAAATATATATAAAAAGAAAAACGGGGGGTTTTGCTACACAATAACCCATAGTCAAAGAAGCCAAAACCCTGCTGGCAAGACCATCTGTGCAGCCATACATTGATCTGCAGGATGCATGCACTCCTGCCTGGGCCCTTCCCCTTGACAGGAAGGATTGAGGAGAACACCATCCTGTTCCCTTCACCCTTTCATCCAAAGCCCTATAGTCACTTTTGATCTGCTCACGGTCAACCCTGGCAGTATAATTGGTACTCATGGGATGAGAAGCATGGGGTAGTAGTCAGAGGGCTGGATGAGTCTTGCTAATCTTTCTGTGACATCTTGGTTCCAGGCCCCGGGCAAGCCACATACCTCCCAAAACCAGAGGTCAGGCCAGCAAATGGATACCTGCATTCCCTGAAGAAGGGAGTCTCCAACTACCACCATCTGTCGCTTCCTCTTGGTGGCAGTAGTCTCAATCCTCCCAACGTTGGAGATGCCTGGTCTGGCCTCCTCTACCAGTAGTAGTAGGAAATTGCAGTATGAAGATTTTTTTTTTTTTTTATTTGTGTTCCATGGGATAAACTATCCTTGTAAACCTCAATCAAAAGCAAAAGGCTACAGTAACAGCTGCTACTCTGTTGTAAATATGCCACCACTCAAGAATACAATGTTTGACTTTAAATAAGTTACATTTATACAGATGCTGTCTTTTCAAGGATGTATCAATTTTATAACATAAATGGACTAATCCAACATATTTTCTCATTGGAACTCTGGATAAATGATAAATTTATCAGTTTGACATTGCTGACAAATCTATCTGCCTTATATATAATATTGTTATACTGTGATGTTTTGCAGTCCCTTGGTCCATCATACAAAGCTGTTCAAGAATGATGAATAAGCTTTGACTGGAGAAACATGGGAAATAAACACATTGGCTAACCTTCATCTAAAATGAGACTTTTTATTGCAAAATGCCTTCTTCACTGCCCAGAGTAATTGATTTCAGGTAATTTCAATGTATTTTAGGCCATTGCTATTTATCAGACAGTGTACAGAAAGATGAGCATCTATTCAGGGGAGTACTGATAAAGGCAGGTTATTGTGAGCATCTTATATACATTGATGAGTGTCCCCTGTTCAAGGCACAATGTAACTGGAATTTGCAAAACAAAACTGAAGAGCATCAAAAGGAAAAGCTTCCTATTCTGGTGAAATGGTGGATGTTTCAGTTCTGTAACATTGGCACCAAAGTTCTGGATAGATTTGGAGCATATAAAGTCAGAAAAAAAATGTTGCATTCTGCTAATATTTATTCAACAATTGTTGCACATTTTGAAAACCTTCTGAAAAGCAGTTCTAGATAATAAGCCTATGTCTGTCTTCAAAAATTTAATTGATGTGTGGTGAGAATGAGACTGTGATAATGTCACCTGCATTACTGATAAATCAAAGTGTGACTATTTTGATCCAAGCATGTTATGAAAAGTCAGTGGGAAGTGTTTATACATAACCTTCATGTCTGCATCCCTTTGTTGTTTTAAAAAAATGAGATGACAGTTTAGGACATCAAAACTCTTTCTTTTTTTCCACAGTAAATGTCAAGTTGATAAAGACCTCAACATTGACCTTCAGAACAAACAAGGAGATGAAACTCAGATGTGATTATCCTCTGAGGTCAGAAGTTATTGAAACAGTGCAGTTTCAGTCCTAAGTTGCCACTACAATTTAAATAGCACTGTATTTAAATAGCAACCTATTCCAACATTTTGAACATAATCTATTATTCCCCTCCTTCACACCAACACTGTTCCTGTCCTTCACTCCAACACTAGTAGGCTATTTAACTCTCACTGCTTGGTAACTTGACCTAACTCTGGGCACAGTTGGCATATCAATTCTCCGGTTTTTTCCTACCGCACTTTCTGCCGAACACAAGAGACAGAAGCAAAAGCAAGGGCTGTTAAAAGGGCTGGACACTCACCACAACTGATACGTCCATAAGATGAAATGGAGATGTCCATAGTACATAGTTTACTGCAGAAGTTTTATTTCCATTATAAAATAATTGACTATGTAACTTTAGTCCTGTAGGGGTTAATCTTTTCTTGCCTATCTACCATAATGTCTGCCTTTCGTTTCTTTAAAGGCACAACAGCTAGCACTGCATCAGAGGTTGTATAGAGGTTTTAAGGAATGATACAATGTTCCCTGATCAACCAAATCAATATCACTTATCTCTCTAGTCTGGTTTGAAGACTTCCAGGTGAAACTTTGCCAAACTATTAACTGACAAAGTGTCCTATTTCTTTCTAACTAAGAAAGACTAAGAAAAGCAAAAACATGCTTAGCAGTTCTTTAGATTAAAATGTATAGACAACATAAGCAATTAAAACAGTCAGCAAAAAACCTTCCTTGTTTCATTTCCTGAGTAGGACTCCCCTCTAGATGTCATTTTTGGAATTGTTGCTGAGTCACAGCTTATTCTGGGCCAGGATAGTCAGAGGTGGAAGCAGGGGCTAAAAAAACAGATGTGTCCCGTATGCAAGGGAGTGGGACTACTCAAAACCAATGACCTGGAAATAGGAGCAAAAAGTTTTCTCCTGGCCAGTATTTTGAAGTAAGCTAAAGATCGAAAAGCCAAGTGAGGAATCTGCACAGTAAAAGAATGTGACACAGCATGTACAACATCTGTAGAAGCAGATCATGGGAAAAGAGACTAGGAAGCCACTGAGGAAGAAGAGAACTGTATCTGTTGAGAGGAACTGGGCCAAGGCTCATGTGACCACAGAGACTTTTTAGTCAAAGCAGTACCTTTGTAGTCATAGCAGTAACTCTGTCTTCAGAGCCAGGTCAGTACTGAGGTATAAATATGAACTACTTAATCTCATTAGCTGAGAAATACTGGGAAAACTTGTTGCTCTGGAAGAGGCAAGTTCGCAAATTCTGAAAGATCTGGAGGAGTTAAGTAAGGGTAACTAAGCTTGGGATTTCAGATTGAACTCCTGGGATGAGAAGGAGAAACTGTACCTGCACAAACAAGGAGTATAGGAAATGCTTAAAAAAGACCAGTTGCTCCTGGAAACTGACCAGTTACTCCTAGAAACTGACCAGCTGAAAAAAGAAGTGGAGGAAAAGAAGAAGATTGCCCTGGGTTTGGATATGGATGGGGAAGAAGTGTTTCATAAATTCCCTTTTCCAGGGAGTTAAGCCTAGCTTAATCTGTGATAGATTGGCCATTTCCCTACTTATCCTCATGTAGAGGATGTCCCTCCAAAGTTTCATAGTTTCATAGTTTCTAGGGTCGGAAGGGACCTGAGCAGATCATCTAGTCTGACCCCCTGCCATGGCAGGAAGAGCACTGGGGTCAAATGACCCCAATAAGGTGGTCATCCAACCTCCTCTTAAAAACCCCCAGGGTGGGAGCCTGCACCACCTCACTTGGAAGCTGGTTCCAGACCCTAGCC